CTGCCAGCCCTCGCCCACAGGCCGGTCACCAAAAATACCCGTGAACTCATGCTAGTGACACAGTTTCTCCTCCCGGGGAGGCTGGGCTGAGTTCTCGGCGTCCTCTGGGCAAGAGCCAGCGCTGCCGTGAGCTGGGCAGACACAGGAGCCTGCCGCCTCCTCCTCCTCCTCCTGCCGCCTCCACAGCCCACAACATCCCCCTGGACTCCTGCACCTGAACGGGGCTCTGCCAGCACGGCTACTGCAAAATACAGCTCTAATTTCACTCTACTCTTCCTTCCCTCTTTCCTGTGATAGGCAGAACGTGACCTCGGTGGCTTTGCTGTCCCAAACGGAGGGACAGCTCTGGCAGTCCCTGCCTTGACAGATCCGGCACCAGTTTGGAATGTGCTGGGGCCGCTGGAGTGGCATCGCCACGTCCCTCTGCGAGCACCACAGCACCTTTGCCCTCTTTCTGCAGCGCTGGGGCTGGGATCCAGCCCAGAGGATCTGCTGCCAGCCTGTGCCTGGCCTGGGAGGCTCTTCTGGGCTGTGGCTTGTCCCCCTGCAAAACCAGCCTGGGACTGCCCGGCTGTAGCATGGCCATGGGGCTGCTGGGGCACCGAGGTGTAGGGTGAAGCTGGGACATGCTGGGTTTTGGTTTTGGGATGGAAATAGGAGAGTTTTACTCTGCGAGGAAACTTGGTTGCAGTTTTACTTTGAATTCTGGCCGGGTTGACTCAGCATGGTACTTCAGCCCCAAAAATAGCTCCTGCCTGAGGAATAGTTTCCTCTCCCTTTGCTCTGAGCTGGCGGGGCTGAGCCCCTGCCCTGGCTGTGAGAGCCCAGCCCAGCTCAGCCCCGGCCCGGCCCGGGGGGCTGCGCTGGGGGGGCTCCGTGGGAACATTTCCGTTCTGCAGTGTTTGTGTTTCCTGAGCACACCCCGCTCTGGGATGTCTGAGAGGACAGCAGGGCTGGGTGTAAATCCCATCAGCAGAAATGCTGTGATACCTCTGGATGAAAAGATTCACTGTGCTGATGTTTCTGAGAGGGGCAGGAGGGTTGGGCAGGATCCTGGCCTCAGCCAAGGCATTTGCTAGTGAGCTGGCAGCCCTGTCATGCTCTTAGTCTGGCTCAGCCCTGGGAGGAGGAGGACAGGGAGGAGGTGATGATGCTGGTGTTTTTTTGCTTTATTTATCACTTCTCTTCCTCTCTCACTAAGGAGATGAGTTTCTAACTTTCTTGTGATATAAAAGCTGTGCCCAGCAGCAGGTGAGGAACAGGGACTGTGTGACATGGAGCAGGTGCCGTGGCACAGCTCCCGTGGGAGCACAGCTGGGCTTTGGGGGCAGGAGCAGAGGTGGTGACACCCCCTCAGCCCTCCCTGGCGACACAGGTGTGGCGCACTCACCGGTCTCGACGTTGAAGGAGAGTTTG